TTTTACTATTTGAATTTTACTTTCCATTGAAAAGAACACAGAGAATCTTGAAACAAAGGCACACCAAGGTGCTCAAAGCTGGGGGAGCGCAAATACTTGAATCTGAACAGAAACAGGAGCGCAATATGTTTATTTATATCGATTCAGCGGCTAAGTATCCTTGGAAAACCCCTTTTATCAGTTATGATATTCAAAACGAACAAAACTTCCAAAATCATTGAGAGGGGGGGGGGCACTTGTTCTTACTGATGGGCCCCTGCCAAAAGCACGGGGAAGTGAGATTAGTATATTTCAGAAGCAGGGAAGAGCGTTAGACTCCTGCCCGAAAATATTGACAACAAACATACAGTCAATTACACACGTAATAACTGAATATCGCTCAGTACTCAATCTGTCAGTCTACCTATATAGGCTTCAGAGCATTCAAAATTATTTTCCAATATACCGTTCGATGCAGAATTGAACTGTCTACAAGATGATGTTATTTCTGTTTCGATATTCATCTTTTAATATGGACAATTTATCGTAATACTGGGGAAAAAATTATATTTTTTCAAAAAATCCAGTATTTTGATTTTTTGACTTCAATAACGACACTGATGAGAAATGTCAAATATACCGTTTTGTAGAGCAAGTCAAGCTCTATCGATTGGTATATGATTCAATTTGAATAGATAAAATATTACAAGAAAAAAATCAACAAATATGAATATGAAGTTACGCTTAATTTCAGTCAGAGGACAATGTTCCAGTGAAGCTATTGCACCGTGAGAACGTCTTGAAATAATGCACCATATATGAATCGACGCAGAATTAAATGGACTACAAAATGATGTAAACATTTTTTTGGCAATCGATTTCTGACCTAGGTATTTGGTCAAAATACTGAAAAAAGCACAAAAATGGAAATGCAAAAAAAGCATGTTTTTTTTAATTTTCGACTTCAATATTGTGACTGAGAAGAAATGTCATGTATACCATTTTGTAGAGCAACTCACGCTCTATCGACTGATATATGACTCAATTTGAACAGGGAACAACTTGGAGGAAAAAAATCACTGAAACTAAAAGTTGAATTTCTTTCATTTTTTTATGGTATTTTTTAGGGTGTGTCAGGTCGGCTGGCCTAGCGGACCGTAGGCAAATCTTGAGACCGTAATATTTTGGATTCGTATATGGTACACCAAGGCCTACATTCCTATAGAGTCAGATCTCAAATCGGTTGACCCTCATGTTTTTCGATCTGCGAAATTTTTTGATTTTCTCGTGGAACGTCTCTTAAACGCACAAGGCAGAAGAAAAAGGGCGTTTTTCGCTCAAAATTGGGAACCCCGAGTGTCTTCCAAACATATTCACTTTTTCTCGATTTTTAATCATTTTTGTGAGTTTAAACACGTTTTCAAAAACTTTTGTCTGCTTGAGTGTCACTGAAAAAGGTGTTTTCAACTGTTACATCTCGTGTCACTACTGTTATGACTACACGTGACTCGTTTACCAGTTGCGACAGAATACTTAGTAAAATGAAACTGAGAAAAACGACCGCACGTAATACAATGTTGAATAATTGGTTGAGCGATTTGCGCGTTTTAAATGTAGAACACGATTTCACCATTAGTTTCGAAAGAGTAACGGAGAATTTTGCTGATTTCCAGAAAATCAGTAGCATTCTTTTACAGTAAACCTTGTGATTCTTTATTTTTTTAATAAACAAGCGCAGCATGATTTTAAAAAATGTCCTTTTAAGCTAAATAGATAATTGTACATTTGTTCTGTGAAAAACCTTTAGGGCTCAGCCCAACCACCCGACAAATCCTGGTTACGCCACTAGTTTTTCATCGTTTATGGCATTAATAAAGCCGTTACTTGACCGTTTCAGGCAGTTTAATGCCATCTTTCAGGCGGTCTGAATGATGGACCTGGGTATGTTCGTGTGTACACTTTTTTGAGAGATTTCAAATGATTCAGTAGCTTGTATTAATCGTCTAACCAATAACATTTGCAAGCGGAGATTTTTAATTATATAGTATTTCCATTCTCCTTAAGATAGCGCACTCTATAAGTATTATGATATACTTACGATCTCCAGGTAAAATGAGTTTACGGACATCCGTCCATTTTAGTCCCGATTTCCTGACAATATTTTACATATTGTCGACCATTTCCTTCCGATTTCCCTGTATTTTTTTATTACGATATCCTGACCAACATGTGTTACGGATTCCCGGTAAACATTTTTAAGGGGAAAAATCAATTCCGAAGACCCTGACGGATTACCCGGTATCCTGCACACTAGTACGAAATGTCTTTGTCCCAAAACTTCCAACACATCAAAATACATAGAGACTCTTAAGTTCTTCTGAATAGTATTTTGTTTCAAATGTGGGTGTGGGTGTGAGTCAGTGTGTTGGGCGCAGTTGACGAGAAAACCCACACCACACCCACACCACACCCACACCACACCCACACACACACCCACACCCACACCCACACCCTCAGTGTTGAATACCAACCCCCACACCATCAAGCTACCGAAAAGATGTAGTGATTTTAATTTTATAAAGAGAAAGATTTTATTTCGATTTATTGTTTATTATAAAGCAATAAAGTGACTCCCTTAAACAGAAAAATGCTTTTTTTTTCATTGTTATTTTCCATTGACGTTTATTGACCTTGACTCATGTTGTTTTTTTTGTACATATGTGTAAGAAAGTATAAGAAAAATTCACTTTTTTCAAACTTTTCGTTGACAGTCTCAAACATACACCTCAGCGTTAGCACATTCAAGACATGGCAACTGCAGCAACCACTTCCGAACCTAAATGTTTTATATGTACGAAGGACAAAGACAAAGACAACTTATACACATGTGAAGGCTGCTCAGAAAAAGTTTGTGTTGCAGATTTATCAAAACATCACCAAGAACATGTATTAGAATTAGAAAAAATTGTCATTGATTGTGATATATTCCAACAAAATATAAGTGAGCAAAAACAGGATCTCAATCATTGTCCATTAATAAAGCAAGTGAATGAATGGGAACGCGATTCGATCATGAAAAGTAAGCAAACAGCAGAAGATTGTCGACAAAGATTACTTAAATCGACAGATAACAATATTGTTGAAATGCAAAAAACATTAAATCAATTCATTACTAACTTGAGAAGAATGCGAGATGGTGATGATTTCAAAGGAAATTCATTTAAACAAATTGAGGGTGCTGTTAGAAGAATTGAAAAAAGAACTTGACCAACCCCTGAATGTTTCCATTTTGGAAGAACGCACATAATTTATAAACAAAATATCAGTTATAGCCAAAGCTTCAGTTTCAGCTTAGTGTGACAACTAAATCTGACTTGAGGAAAGAGTATACGGATGGCAGCGGTGGCGGAAGTGGGGGCTGGAGTGAGGAGTTTACTCCCCTCCAATGAAGAGAAATATTCTGTTTTTCCAGTGAAAATATCATATTTCCCCAGGTCGGACAGAACGATCAGTAAACGACCCTAAGTGTTATAGATACGGGGATATGCGGTGTTTCTAACGAATGATCGTTTACGAATAATCGTATAAGATCTTGAGACGGCGAAATACGATAACGTTCTCAATGGTCGTATACGAAGCTTCGTAAATGAAACGACGTCGTTCCTTTATTTTTGCAGAGAACAAACCAAAAATTTCTACGATTTTTTACTAAACCGATTTCAATGAGCAATATAATACAATTTCTCGATTGTGACGCTCATATGGAAAATACCTGGCAAAACGAAAATCTGCTTGGAATAAGATTTTTGTCCGGTTCGCAACGCAATTTTAATGGTTTTACTAAATTTTCACCAATTTTTTATTTTTCCTATTCATCAATTTTTAAAAATCTATAAATTTTAAAAAGTTTAACTTTTTTAGTGCATCCTATTGGTTACTTTTCATTTTAATCTTCTATTATGAAAAACACTGCCTTGAAACCGAAACAGAATGAACTTGAATATTTAAGGATATTATCTAGACTTCTGAATTATAAAACAGCGTGTTAGCACTTGTTTGGGGATTATGTAGCAATGGTAGAACTAATATTTAGTCTGCCAAAATAGAGAGCTAAACATGTTTCAATAATCGACTTTGTCGTCGTATTATTTATAGAATATATTGAGTATCGAGTGATCGATACGATAGAACATCAACAACAGCGCAATAACGAAAGAAAATCAATCACGAGGATTAGTCATAGTCGAAATATTACGTAACAAATCAAAATAGAGATCATAGCAACAGTTAACACGAATAAACGTTTAGCGTCAGTGAGTGTCATCTACTGACGCTAACACAGCGAGTCAGCATCAGGAGTAAGCGATAGAAAAACGATGCATTTACGACTGTAAACGGTTCGTACACCTGACCGTACATGGTACGGAAAAATATGGCCATAATAATGCCCATTTCAAAACGGATAAATACCATGCCGTAACGGGCCACATTTGATTCATCGCGTGGCCTCTGCCAATGGGGATAATGGGACAAAACAATTTAAGTTCAGAGTACACCTTACAGTGGTAGTGAGTGAAGGTCTACAGTGATAATAGATAAGATGAGTATTTTTTTGGGTCACTTTTATTTTTTAGGGGCATTACTTTTTTCACTCAGCACACAAAACATGTTCATACAAGCTCACATTCACACCCTGTTCTTCGTCACCTTCATTATGAAAAACAACACCTATGACCTGCGTATTACCTATTTTTTCATTTTTCTCACTCAAAATGCAAAAACCATTCAAAATAAAAATCTGAAGTATTTTCATTTTCTTCTCTCTCTATATATTTCTGATGCTCTGTCATTTCCTCTAATTTACCTATTCAAATTAAGTTATTTTTACCATATCTAATATAATATCATCTTATTTTCTATATCTTCATTATTTTAGTAACCAAACCAGCATTCATTCCACTACGTAGCTGTTCAATCGACATCTATCCAAATGCTCGATGGAAAAAAAATGGTCTGACTGTAGCTGGAGGAAATGGACAAGGCAATGGAATCAATCAACTCTCGAACCCATTGGGTTTGTATATTGATGATGATCAAACTGTCTATGTCGCTGATGCAAACAATCACCGTATTGTGGAATGGAAATTGGGTGCGATGAGTGGCCAAGTGATTGACGGTGGAAATGAAGAAGGAAGTTGGGCTCATCAATTGTCTAAGCCAACAGATGTGATTTTCGACAAAGAGAGAGATAGTCTCATCATCTGTGATAGTTTAAATAAAAGAGTGGTTCGATGGCCTCGTCGAAATGGAACAAGTAGAAAAACGATCATCTTTGATATCTATTGTCGAGGTTTGACAATGGACGAGAATGGATCTCTTTATGTCGTTGACTATGGAAAACATGAAGTGAGACGATATCAAAAAAGAGAATCTCAAGGAACAGTGGTTGCAGGTGGCAACAGACGTGGAAATCGTCTCGATCAACTCTCTGACCCACAATACGTATGCGTCGATCGAGATCATTCAGTGCACGTATCTGAATGGGGAAATCATCGTGTGATGAAATGGATGAAAGGTGCAAAAGAAGGCATTGTTGTGGCTGGTGGTCAAGGAGAAGGAAATGGTCTTACACAATTGTCATATCCTGGAGGAGTCGTTGTCGATCAATTGGGCACTGTCTATGTGGCTGATGATGGGAATAATCGAATCATGCGTTGGCCCAAAGGAGCCACACAGGGAAGTGTGATTGTGGGTGGAAACGGTCGAGGAAAACAATCGAACCAACTCAATCAGCCCATCGGTTTATCATTCGATCGACACGGTAATCTCTATGTCGTCGATTACGGTTACGGAAATCATCGAGTACAAAAATTCAATATTGAATTCAATGGATAAAAAAATACCGAACTCTATGTATATAAAAAGAAAAGGAAAGAAGAGAATATTTTGAATTATTTTTTCAAAAGAATAAAAATTTTCTTTTGTATTTTGTTTGTTTTCCATTGTTTTAAAACTCGTGATAATAATAATAATAAAGAAAATAAAACAAATTTGAAACAATCCGAAACCATCAAAAATTTAAAAAAAAGGAAACCAGTTAATAAAAGAATGTTTTTGGAAACATTGAACACATAAAAAACATTTTTAAATTTCCTGTCAATCTATGAAAAATTTATCAAAATAGGCACGAACCCAGTAGCCCAGTCCACATTCATTTTTTACGGAATCAGCATCCTTGGATTCCTTGAAGATTATGCTATTTCCATTGCAATGAACATAACTCTAATAGTTTTTTTAATTTATAAACTACTTTAAATCCATCTAATAGTTGCGATTCTAGTGAATAACAGTTCTGGGTGTGGGTTGGAGTGGATCCCAGCAGTACTATCTCATCCACACCCACGCCCAGGAAACCACAAAAGTTATTGAGTTTGAAACAAGGGGAAACGTTGTACTTTGACTCCTCAAAGTGCAAAAGTACATAAAAGTATCTCGAAGTACTTAAAGTACAAAAGTACGATGTTTCCTCCTTGGTTTGAAACCATTCTTTATCTGAAAAACTACGAACAACACTCACATGAAAAATAATCGAAACGACATTAGAGAAAAGTTCAGCAATCAGAATTGCGCGTGCCCTACCAGACAATCTTGTATCTCGAACTCGCATCCTCTAGTAGATTGATAAAAAGTAATTATTAAATAGATAGTTCGATAGTCTCGACTAGATTATTCGAGTTATCTTTGTAACATGCTACGAATATATTCATTATTGTTACGACGGGTACAAAGAGCAGCGTAGTTCTCACTAAGTAAACAATGAAGTGAACTGCTTCGTAGGTCAAATGTACCTCGCAGTTTAATCAATGTGTTTATTAGATCATGTTTAAGCTCATAATGAATACTAAAGTCTATCTGGAATTAAAATATAAACATATCAGACTCAGCATTATGAAACAAGACAGGAGTATCATTGCTACATTATAGAAATTCACGAGTAACTATCCTCAATTACGTGTTCTCTGTCGATTCTTAATGGAGTTTCGAGCTGAGTATCCTACCAAACTTTCATCAAAAACTAAAGTGATCATGAGTAAAACATCAATTTACAGTGAAAAAGCGAAATCAGATTTTCTTAATTTCTATTATTTTTTGATTTCTTTTTATTTAAAATTAGTTGGTTTTCAATTAGAAAAATCTGACTTCAACTATTTTATCTTTGCGATAAATGCAATGGGTATTTGAACACAAGTGATGCTTTTGAAATGTACTAATTGAATACGATGAAATTAAGGAGCAAGAATATCATTTAGTGTGAATTGGAAAAAAACAATAATGAAATATTCTAAATCCAAAAAAAGAGTGTCGTTTGTGTGAATTTGAAAAGAGCCATGCCATTGTTCAGACAGATGTTCAGCAAAACTGATCAGGATATCGTTACGTTTGCCGTATAGGATTGACGCATGCTTCAATAATTGAAGGAGCATTAATTGGATGAAATTTGACAAATTATAGTCCAGCCGCATCGAGTAAGCGTTTATACTCGTTCACAGTTCGTACTTTACCGTTAAAACCTGCTCCCAAGAAGACATCCAGTCCGTTTGCGCACCAGTTGTTTCGCGTTCCATCGTCAGGCAAAATGACAGCTTCCACAATGAATACGACTACATTAGCTTTGCCTTCGCAGGCTTGGCGCACCGACACGAAAGCCGAAATCGTCTTTTCATCGTCGAAACTTTCGAGGACATCTTTAATAATGTATGCAGGGTGTGGGGGTGGGCATGGGTGAAGATATAGTTATTGTGTCCACCCACACCCACACCCACCTCCACACCGGAGTTAGAGTTCCCAGGTGAATGAGTCCGATGGGATTCCGGGTTACGGATCGACTGTCGGTTCCGACGGAAAAAAACATTTTCTTAATTAGGGGTGAATATGCATATTTTCTCATAAGAACACTAGGGTCATTCGTTCATGTCGGATTCC